GTTTCACCAGAGCTCCCCTTCAGCAACACACAATTAGATTCCCAAGTGAGTTTCTCCACAACACAGAAACATTAGTTATATTTAAAGAGCAGGTTTATTAGGAAAAGGGACACAAGAGTAAAAGACACTTGAACAGACAACATGGGAAAAAGGGGCTGCCCCTGAAAGGGACAGGTTTGCTAAGAGAGAGGCCTGGATGGGTATTACGCTTTGTGCCCTAATCATTGGTGCTAAGGATCTTGGTTTCTGGGCCCTCTCTGGTGGCACAGAAGGTTAAGCACAGTACTTGTTAAGGATCTTGGTTTCTATAGCCGGGTCAATGGCTGTGCTAATCCCTTATACCCTACCTCCTTGTGTGAGTCAGGTTTTAGTCCTGTAGCACCTCCTACCCAGTTTTTCTATTTGTATCTTCCATCACCCCCTGTTCAAAGTGGACCACATTTTTAATAATAGTAGAATTATTGAGACTCCTTATCCAATCTGACTCCATCATCAAAGGTTAAGAATACATTTGCCCAAGGGATTACAACTGAGATGGAAAAATGCACAAAATGATGTAAAAATAAACCATTATATTATTTTTAAAAATAGTAATAAAATCATATTTTTGAATATTCAAAAAAAAGAAAAATAATACATTTGAGGGCCCTCCCTGGTGGTGCAACAGGTTAGGATGCAGCACTGCAAGCTAGCTGCAGCTGCTTCAGTGCAAGTTCAATCCCCACACGGGATTGCAGGTGAGGTGACCCACACGGAGCAGCAGACTGCTCCTCTCCTGCCTGCTGCTCCCCGCAGCAAGGATACTTTGTCTTTGTCAGTAGGCCTGTTCTACTCCCCACTCTGTCTCTGGTGAATCCTCTCACCATCCCTGCATTTCTGGTCTGTACCCCAGTTCTGTTGCACAAATAAATGAATCTTAAATGTGTTTATAATAGTTTTATAATAATGTCATAACAAAAATAAACAACTTCATCAAAAAATGGGCAGAAGAGCTAAAAAGGCACTTCTCCAAAGAGGAAATGCAGACAACCAACAAGCATATGAAAGAATGTTCAACATCACTCGTAATAAGGGAGATGCAAATTAAAACCACAATGAAATACCACCTCACACCAGTGAGAATGGTACATCTTCAACTAGCAACAACAAATGTTGGCGAGGATGTGGAGAAAAAGGAACTCTCCTGCACTGCTGGTGGGAATGCAAACTAGTACAACCACTATGGAAAACTGTTTGGAGGTTCCTCAAACTGCTAAACATGGAGATTCCATATGACCCAGCAATCTCACTCCTACGTATCTACCCAAAAGACACAAAAACACTGATTCAAAGGCACCTGCACCCTTATGTTTATTGCTGCTTTATTTACAATTGGAAAGACATGGAAACAACCCAAATGCCCAAAAGTGGATGACTGGATGAAAAAGATGTGGCACATATACACAATGGAATATTACTCAGCAACCAAAAAATAAACACATGCCTTTTGCAGCAACATGGATGGAGCTGGAAAAGATCATGCTTAGTGAGATAAGCCAGAAAGAAAAGGAAGAATACCAGATGGTTTCACTCATAGGAGGATAAAGGACTAGGAGAAAATAATAATAATGAACAGCTATATACCAGAGACATTATATGGGGGTGGTGTGGGGAATGGGATCAAAAACAGTGGGGGGAAGGAAATGCACTGGACTGTGGTGATGGCACATGGGTGATTTGGTGATGGGAAGCCC